TGGATGGAAATTCTGCAAAGTCCCCAGACCCATACTGGGAGTTACCTTGCAAGTGTTCCTTGACCCATAAATATAACCAATCTCATTTTTCAAAGCATTCAACTAAAGGTGATATGAAGAGCTACATTGTTAGACAAAAAATTGAGTGAAAAAATGTTAATGCTAATATTGGTTAGAGATGTATACAAGTACAACAAGCAATTATCTTTTGCCATGGTCAGTCTGAGTGATTTTGAAAGAGAAAACAAAGTCGTAGAAGTGTTTCCATCCCAAATTTCCAGAGAGATAGACTGAGGTATGAAGCGAGTTGACAAAAGCATAATTGGATGAATTATATCCGGTCTCATCATTCATTAACTGAAAAGTGTTCACAAGGCAAGAGCGTGAACACCGCCCCCTCCCCCATGCCTCACCTCAGGGACAAAGATGGTTTAGAGGGTACACATCCTTACCTCAGAGAGTAGGTGCTGAATCACAACTGTCAATGCCTCAAACTTGGTATTACCACAGGAAAGAAGCTGCTTGAGTTGCAGGATAAATCCACTTTGGTTTTCACATTTTGTCTTATAATGAGCCAACTCAAGTGTTTTTTCAGAAGATAGCACATCTGGAGACGTCTGTGTCTGGATACACAAACTTCTGGGATTCTTCTGCCTGCCCTTTTCAACTGTAAAAGAAATGAGTATACATAGGAAGATATGTGATTTTTATTTTTATAATCACTACCATCTGGGTTCAAAAACAACTAAATAAGCCACAGAAATGCACTTAAGTTATATTTACATAAGGAAAGCATATGGCTCAGAACAGAAATTAATCACATATCTAGATGTTTGGAATGTACAAACACAGACCACGTCTCTAGCCCTGACTTAAAAGATTTACATGGGGCAGAGAACCATTTGTTCATGTACGTGAAACAAATAGATTTAGCAATCCAGACACATGAAAATTGTGTGCAAAATAATGTAGATATCACAGTTTCTAATTTTTTAAGGTAAATTGGCACAGTATCCTGTGACAAGTTCCCTGAGTCTGTATTCTGATCACATATGCTCAAAGAAAAACACAAGCGATTGGACTTTCAACACCTCTCCCTCCTCCTCCACATTTTCTACAAATCTCCCATCCTTTCCTGCTGATGGCCTGGTCATTACAAAGATTTATACTGCAGATGAGTCATTTCCTCATCTCTAATAAATCATTACACATATTGAACACCTACTCACATTTTGTCCCTTAAGTTCACTGCTAAAAGTACTATATTCTCGACTATACTCTGTTTTCTATCAAACACAAGCTTTATTGTTTTTCCCCTCTCCAAGTAGTAATAATAGCCTACGCATTTTTTTTTTTTTAAAGCTCATGCTAATACTCCTAATCCAACTAAGATGCTGTGCTAAGTGATTATTCACTTTCTGTGCCACGGGTGTCCTGGGAATTACTCTATTTTAAATGAAAAACTGCTCAGTTTTGGAACCATTCCAAATATCTCCATCACTTTAAATATCCAACAGAACTGGAAGAACACACAACAAGCTGCTTAGCTTCTTGAAATAAGTAGGCCAAGTAATCAAAGCAAAACTAAATCTGAAAAAAAGATACAAGAAACAAACAAACAAAAAAAGCTTCCCTGTTCTCAGAGGTATTCCTGATGGCGTTCACATTCTGTGCTAACAAACCTAAGGAAATTTTATAGATGGGAATTATTTCTTCTAATTTTTCAGGGGGAGGGAAACTAAAGTAATGTCTTGGGGAAAAAAATAAACAAACTTGACAATTCATGCTCCAAGAACCAATTACAAAATACACTCAATATATTCCTTAAATTAAAAAAAAAAGGGGGGGGGGGCGAAAAAGGTTCTCATTTTCTTTGATGCTTTCTATGGCTAAATGACTCATATTTGTATTAATACTTGATAATTCACTGTTCTAAAATGACTAAAATATCTTTTGTGTTTTAAAAACACTTAAAGGGTCAAGTATTTGCCCATAGTCTTTCTTAGTAATCATTAACAGCTACTTAGCACTAACTGCCACTTCCAAAGCAGAGGAAGAAAGCAACCAAGTTCCTTGTCATAATATTCAAGTCCCATAGGGAGAGCTTTTAAGAGTCATATTTTAATGAAAAATAATCTAAATATTTTACAGTTTGTCAAAGTGTCTGAAGTTAGCATTCCTTTATTTTTCATCATTTCCTAAAATGTTCTTAGGAGTTCTACTCTTCACATAAAATAATAATTACATAGTGTTTTACTGCTCAGTGAGTGTTCTCGCTTTCCCTCTTTCATCCCCTTAGTAACTCTCCATAGGGAAGGCGAGGTTCCAGGGTGGGAAGGGCCTTGTCCAGGCTCAGAGGGCTTCTTTGGGACAGATCCAAAGTCAGAACCTAGGCCTCCGACACCCAGTGTCTACTGTTCCTAAGTATCTGTATCTAAGTAAAGACTGTTCCTAAGTCTACTGTATCTAAGTAAAAATAATCATTTATGCAATAATCATAATAAAATATCACTTGAATATATCAAGCCCCTTATTTGGTAACTCTTCATTTCAGTAAACCTACACGTAGATAAACATCTGCATTTTATATAGTTTCCTATAATTTTATACGAACAGAACAGCAAAAAAAACCATCTTTTAACTCTTTGACCAATTAGAATTCAGTGCAACATATGCAGATATAAATTCATTCTCCTGACACTGCTGTATGTCCTACTAATATTTATGTAATTCATTTGATTATTGATATACTACATTCAGTTTATCATTTCTTGAATCCCTTAACCATGTTTGATTCTTTTTCTAGAATTTCTATGCTGATCAATTTTATTACTTAACACAGTATCAGAGTTTTAAAACTGTTAGGCTATAATTATTTGCAAAATTTGAGATGTAAGTATTTTATATTAACATTTTTGAAGAAAACATTCTTTAAAATTCTTGCTTACTGAGACTTCCTGATGACTTTTACTGGTCAGGTTCTAGTAAGTTATTTCATAAGGAGATAAATTTAATTTATTAAGCATTGTTTTTCCACCTTCAGGTTCAGAATACATGTACTCTTTTTGTAGCACCAAATTTTATATTTTCCTTCAAATTATCTCTTATATCAAAGTCAGGCAATGTCTAGTAATACGTCTGGCTTTGTAAACTTTTTTTTCGGTATTATCAATATTTTAAAATTTTACTGTAGTTAAAATATTTGCTAGCAATATTGTTTGGATAAATTACTTGATATTAATCTTTTTTTCTTACTAAATGGTTAATTCCATTTCTAACATTATTTTAAAAAGAGGGAGAGGGGTGCCCTGGGAGGCTAAGTCGGTTAAGCATTGGACTCTTGGTTTCGGCTCAGGTCATGATCTCATGGTTCATGAGTTCGAGCCCCGCATCGGGCTCTGCACTGTTAGTTTGGGATTCTCTCCCTCCCTCCCTCCCTCTCTCTTTCCTCATCCCTTGCTTTAACCCTCTCTCTCTCTCTCTCTGAAAATAAATAAACTTTAAAAAAATAAAAAGAGGGAGATAGCCTTATTTCTTTCTTGCTTTAACTGTTTCTCAATGTCCATAGATTTTAAAATAATACATCTCTATCATATTAAGAATCTGTCAATACTGTTTTTTGAAGTGTTTAAAAAATACAAGTTGGGTTTGCCTCTGAAACCATTATGATTTTCACTAGATTCTATTTAATTTGATAAATTTTTGTTAAAGGCTTTTCTTAAGCCACAGTGGCTTCAAATTCCTAAGACATTCTTTTCTCTTTTTCAATTAAAATACTTTTTACCATCTGAAATGTAGTTCCTCCTCATTTTTTTGAAGCATAACTGACATTTAACATAATATTAGTTTCAGATGTGCAACATGATGATTCACTATTTGTATATGCTGGGAAATGATCACCACAATAGTCTAGTTAACATCTGTTCCCATACATAGCTACAAAATTTTTTTTCTTGTAATGAGACCTTTAAAGATCCCTCTTAACAGTTTCAAATATGCAATACAGTATATCTACTCTAGTCCCATACTGTACATTACATCCCCATGACCTTTTTATAGCTCGAAGTTCGTACCTTTTGACCTCTTTCACCCACTGCACACCCACCCCCAAAAGAAACTCTTTTTTTTCAGATATGGCAGTCCAACTATGTAAGCTATAAGGTACACCCTGGAAAACATTCACTGCCCAAGTCTGACTACACTCCAGTCAGGCATATCTCTTGGCACTTAGCTGCTTTTCATTTATGCTTTGCCTGGTCACTGGTTCACCTGTGGCTGCAGTGTTAAGGTGTTAACAAGGCAAGTAGGGGAGGGACAGCACCTGTGCTTCGGTAAAACCCAGCTGTCCACATGACAGCTGCTTTTTCTCTCAGGCTTTCTTTTTCTTTACTTTTCTTAATTTTTTTTAATGTTTATCTGTTTTTGAGAGAGAGACAGAGGACAAGCAGGGGAGGGGCAGACAGACAGGGAGACACAGAATCCTAAATGGAATCCAGGTTCTGAGCTGTCAGCACAGAGCAGGACATAGGGCTTGAACTCACAGAGTGCAAGATCATGACCTGAGCCGAGTCGGACGCCCAACCAACTGAGCCACCCAGGCACCCCAACAGCGTCTCCCTTTTCAGTAAAGGGGATAGAAACCAGAAAGACACAAAGTGTTCTAGTATGTTTTTTATGTTTTTGAACCATGGGGTAAACATAACATACCTATTCAAAATTAAAAAGTAATTATTTTCTAAACATGACTAAAGTGAATTCTGAACACTTAAATCATTAACACTTAGCGATCAAAAAACATAATTAATCCACATTTCTTCCTTGAGGAATATAGACAGGAATTTAATAATACAGGTTTTATTGTATGTGACAACTCAAAATAGATTTGCATTAAAGGAGGAAGGAGAACATTGACAAAGTAATTCTTCTAAGAGTACATATCTTCAAATTTAACATAAGAGCAAATAAGCAACTACAATGCTCTGCACCTAGAAGTGGAAAATCAAGTTGTGACCTCAATCTTCTGCTCCATATACTGTGTTCCCGAAGGGCAAAATTGTGCCACGTGGTAGCTGATGACCTAATTTGAGCATCTTTCCCCCTCCTCACTCCTGGCCCAGTTTGAGATCAGAGATGATATAAAAAAAGGAAAAAAAAAAAAAAGTGATGCTCAAAGCCCTAATACTCATAAATAGGGTCCTTCAATATACTAAAACAGAGTTTCCCTTAAATCTTACAGGAGTCATGATTTATAGGAAATCAAAATATGAACCAAATTTGCCTTTGTATCCCCTTTATTAACATGTTACCATTTTGATAATGTAGCTGTATTTAAACACATAAATTCATTATGCCTATTAATAAGACGCGATTTCAAAGAATCAACTTAATCAGAAACCTTAAAATTACATGTTACCTTCTATACAGATTCAGAAGTCTGTCAACAAGATAATTACCAATATCGTGTCTGATCCAACCTTCCTGGGACTCACTCTAATGAAATTGAAACCTCCATTGGGGAAAACAGAAGTCGTGAATCAAAGACATGTGCTCACTTGAAAACCAACTGGATAACACTGCTTGCCGTATTTGTTCATTATTCTCCAAACCCTCCATTTAATAAAATTTCAAAGTAGCCTAATCAACTTACTTATCATCTTCTTGAAGAAAGTGGTTAGGTAAAGAGGAATAGGCCCCCTTTCCAGGCTCTAGTCACTCAGGCATATAGACCCCCACGTCAAGACAAAACAAGGTTTTTGAGAAAACTTAACCATTAAGACATGGATGAACCCACTACATGCTGAAGACACGTGCATCTTAAGGCCAAACAAACCATTTACTGAATGTGCTGGCTCTCCAAATATTAAAATCCAGTAAGAGACAAGACCTACTAGAAGAGTTTGCCTTGGCAAATGCAAAACTATATACACTGTGTTTCATAAATAACGTTGCCTAATTTTTTGTGTACCTATTGACCTAGTCATTCACTCACCAAATATTTATCAAAATCTACCATGATGACTTTGCCTCGTGGCGGGAGCATCAGTCCTGCCATCTGGCGGGGGAGACGGGAGGCACAGAGGAAGGTGGTGTTGCACACAGATGCACGAAGACGCCTGGAATCTCAGCTAAGTCATGTCTCTCTAGCATTCATTTCTTCCTGTTCAGCTCTTATAGTATCCACCTGTCTGCATTGTAAACTAATGTCTGTGAGGTAATAAAAGATAGGTAATGAACTAATGTGCTGGTGAGGGCCCCCACAATCTCCACCAGCAGCCTGGACGGACAACCGATTCCCTTCTTTCTGCCTTAATCTGACCCAGCACACCAAACCCTTAAAAGTGACACTTATCTCTATGCGGAGGCCTTTAGTCTGTTTCCTCAGCATTGGATGATGGGTGCTTACCCTGGGATATCTCATGGAACCACACATTAAATGAGAACTATTGGGAAATACGTGTTCTCATAAGAGGGAGTATCCAGTTATAAATGATCACCCCCATGACTACTCTTCATTAAGTGCAGATTGGATGTGCTTCTAACAAACTGGTCCCTGCAAAGGTCCCATAAGGAACGTTTATTAATCAAAGGGAGAGATGCCATCCACAATGACAGAATAATTTGATAATTAGATAACAGAGTTATGTGGAGTGTGTGGGAAGAGTCCAGGTGGAGAAACACCTAGATATGGAGCAGTCAGGGCAGGGTTCAGGAGGCAGAGTTTGCATGGGCATTTGCACATCTGGCAGACAGATAAGCAGAAAAGGCCAGCAGAGGCGCAGAGGTATGGGTGGCCCCAGATATTCCTGAAGTTCAAGTACAAAGAGGTGGCTAAAGCAGAAACAGGGTGACAGCATCCACGCCACACAAGGTTTGACCATATAGGTGGCTGAGGACGACACTGAGTAGGGGTCTGGGGGCACTATGAAAGATAGGAGAGGTACACAGGGGGGTCAGGATGAAGGCCCAGGAAGAGAACCCATGGGCCAGGGGCAGTGAGAACAGGCAGAAAAGGATGCGTGTGTTTATAAGGCAGAACGGCAGGGGGGACTTAGTGGACCAGGTGGATCAAGGGGAGCTCAGGAAGAGCCACAAGCTTGCAGCTAGGAAGTAACACAAGAGGAGTCGATTTATGCCTGGGAAGGAGAGTAAGGGCAGAGTGAGGGGAGGAGTCTGGTGTGGGACACAGTGAAGAAGGCGGAAAGACATTCTCTGACGCTCTGCTCTTCATTCTCCAGAAAGGGTCTATTCTACATTCACCTGCTTTGTAACACTTTCCAAATTTAATTGTCCACCATGTCATTTTCCCAAGGAGCCATCAGCTCTGTATCTGCTCCTGTCCTGAATGCTGCCCTCAACACGAGTGTACTAACCCACCCTTCCTGGTTGTACCCAGTGAACAGTAAAGCCATGGTAATCTGTATAATCTTACAAGAGATTTTTTTTTTTTCAACGTTTATTTATTTTTGGGACAGAGAGAGACAGAGCATGAATGGGGGAGGGGCAGAGAGAGAGGGAGACACAGAATCGGAAACAGGCTCCAGGCTCTGAGCCATCAGCCCAGAGCCCGACGCGGGGCTCGAACTCATGGACCGCGAGATCGTGACCTGGCTGAAGTCGGACGCTTAACCGACTGTGCCACCCAGGCGCCCCACAAGAGATTTTTTTTAATTGTCATCCATGTCATCAATTATTACCTTAAACTTATTATAACCTTTTTGTGTTCCTTTTGTTATTTATTTTTACTAAAAGAATGAATAGTTATCACAGTTTCGAAACTACATGCAATTTTTTCTATTCTAGGTAGCTATGGCATTTATTTACATGGAACATTTCAAGCTCAGCAAAGCAGTGTTTAGACTTTTAAAATTACCCAAGCTGACTCTCTTTGAGGTGGAGGGTAAGACTTTAAGGCACCTAAGCATTAAAAATTTACATTACTATATCATCAGAATTTGTCACAATGGCTTGTATTACAAATAAAAGGGTTTCACTTTTATAACTTTTAAAGTAGGTTATAGAATGGAATGTATATTCCTATTAAAAACTCCTATTTCAGATTAATTATGCTTACACAATTTTTCCTAAGGAAAAAAAAAAACCCAAAAACAAACAAACAAAAAAATAATCCAAACTTGACCTTAACTATTTCCCATGTAGCTGGCAGGAAATAAGCAGATTTCTCATGTTCTTAAAATGGACTACAAAGAAAAAAATTCATTACATCAGAAATACTTTTTTTTTTAAGTTTATTTATTTTTGAGGGAGAGAAAAAGAGAACATGAGCTGGGGAGGGGCAGAGAAGGGTGGGGGAGAGAAAGAATCCCTAGCAGGCTAGACTATCAGTGCAGAGCCCAACATGGCGCTTGGCTTGACCTCGGAAACTGAGAGACCATTCCCTGAGCCAAAATCAAAAGTCAGAAGCTTAACTGACTGAGCCACCCAGGTGCCCCTTTTTAGAAATACTTTTAAGAAGATATTACCTCCCTCGGTTTGTTGGTTCTTTAAATAATCTAGAAGTTCAGCTGAAAATGTTAAGTTTATGAACTGCAGGACCGAAAGAACATACTATAAACATGGAACACAGCAAAACATTTCTAAGTGATACAATTTTAGTCCTGTAACATTAACAATTCCGAAGATACTGAATGAAAATATATTTATTGTAATCATCTAACCTAACAGTTTCATCAAAAACACGAATTTTAGTAAACAACTCAATTTTTATTTCAACTTAAATAGGGAACAAGTGTCTTTTGCTATACTTTTGTTCGCACTGTGTACAAGCAAATTGGATAGGCCTTTTCACAGAGCACCAGGAAAGGGATAAAATATACATCCACCAAGTCCCTACCAGCGTGCCCTAGCAAAGCTGCGGCTCTAAGACCGCCATAGCTAGATGAGCTCAGTATCGATCTCTGACAGAATGTTTTTAGCATAATACCATTCACAACATCAGTTCTCAGGAAATGCTCATCAGTGTGGTAGGAAGCCAGCAAAACCTTCAAGACTCCTTTCAAGGAAACCAAAGAGAAGAAAGAATGTGTATTCACGGTACAGTAACAAAGGGATGGTGACAGGTTACATCTCTCATGTTATTCTTGAACTTGGTCCCTGTGAGATCTGTATTCTACAAATGACTGAATCTTTTAACTTTTTACACATAAGTTCTAACGCACCTGTTTTTTTAATAGAGGCTTTTTATAATGGTGCCATCAACTTCTGTATTTTGTAGTCTGAGAGAGAATCACGAGAGAAATTCAAGTTTATTTAGCATCAACTTGGCAATACCTACCACAAATGTACTGATAACAATATTAAACTTTTGTTGACACATTTAAAAAATTATTTTTAATGTTTACCTATTTTTTTGAGAGAGAGAGAGAGGGGTGGGTGGGTGAAGCGAGAGGGAGACACAGAATCTGAAGCAGGCTCCAGGCTCTGAGCTGTCAGCACAGAGCCGAATGCGGGCCCCAACTTATGAACTGCGAGATCATGATCTGAGCCAAAGTCAGATGCTCAACGGACTGAGCCACCCAGGCACCACCCCCCCATTAAAAAAAAAATTGTTTATGGGGCGCCTGGGTGACACACTCGGTTAAGCGTCCGACTTCAGCCAGGTCACGATCTCGCGGTCCGTGAGTTCGAGCCCCGCGTCAGGCTCTGGGCTGATGGCTCGGAGCCTGGAGCCTGTTTCCAATTCTGTGTCTCCCTCTCTCTCTGCCCCTCCCCCGTTCATGCTCTGTCTCTCTCTGTCCCAAAAATAAATAAAAAACGTTGAAAAAAAAATTAAAAAAAATTTGTTTAATCTTTATTTTTTTGAGTGAGAGAACACATTTAAAATATATAAAAGCCATATGTCAAGTTGAGATATTCTTCCTCCACATATTCTTTTATAACTGAAAATTACTTCATGTAAGATAGAAATCAAATATTAATCTGTGCCCAAGTGACTTCAAAGTGTTTAACTGAAATAATTACAAAATAGGTAATCATTACCCAAAGCCATTCATATCATAAGAGAGAAAAAAAATAACAAGATGTTGCGAGAATAGACTTGTTAAATAACCCACTCCCCTTGGGGTGCTTGGGTGGCTCTGTCGATTAAGCGTCCAACTTCGTCTCAGGTCATGATCTCACAGTCCATGAGTTCGAGCCCCGCATTGGGCTCTGTACTCACACTTCAGAGCCTGGAGCCTGCTTCGGATTCTGTGTCCCTGCCTCTCTCTGCTCCTGCCCCACTCACACTCATTTGCTCTCTCTCTCTCTCTCAAAAATGAACATTATAAAAAAAAAATTATAGGGGAGCCTGCGTGGCTCAGTCAGTTGAGCGGCTGACTTCGGCTCAGGTCATGATCTCACGGTTGGTGAGTTCGAGCCCCGTGTATGGCTCTATGCTGACAGCTCGGAGCCTGGAGCCTGTTTCAGATTCTGTGCCTCCCTCTCTCTCTACCTGTAACCCACTCGCATTCTGTCTCTGTCTCTCTCAAAAATAAACTTTAAAAAAAAAAATTTTTTTTAATTATAAAAAAGATCCACTCCCCTTATTTATAAGCAGCCAGTATCAGCTTTTGAGAATTAACGGTTTGACCTTCTCGGGGTCAGATACTATAAAAAGGCTGCAACCCCCCTTACCCCTGCAGGCTCTGGAGCCTGGGGAAGTCAGGCACTCAATTTCCCAGCCTCCCTTGCAGGTAGCCAGCCATGTGAATGACACTTAGCCAATGAGATGGAAGCCTGAGTGATTTGTCACCACCGCTTCATTATTTTATTTTTCCTTCCTGGAGCAGTGATCATGAGTGCAAGAGGCAAAAGGCATGTTCCGGAAGCTAAGAAAATAGCAAAGGTGTTGATCCTGACAGAGCTGAGCTACTGAACGTCAGAACAGCTTTTTAGGTGAGACAAGTAAGTTGCTTCGTAGTCAAAGCTGTCTTAACTGCAGCTAAAAGCAGGTCTTCTCGACATTCTCAAAAACGAATACCAAACATAATTTGATGACTTTTGTTATAATTAGATGTTTTCATATTCTGCCTCACGCTCTTACTCTCTAGTCAAAATGGTTCTCTTTACTGTGGTTTTAAGTAAATGAAATATTTTGTCCTATTAATAATACTTCTGCCTGTCCTCAATATCTATGCAGTACATTTCTCCCCTTGGCTATAATAATTGCTTTTGATATCACTGGCTCAGCAAAAATAATTCTAAGTACAGTGAATTGCTTTCACTTCAATCAAAAGGAATATTAACCCTCTGAGGTTCAAAATCGGACTTTTCATAATAATGAATACAGCTATCAGCTTCAAAGAAAAACTGAATTCTAATAAAACTGGTGGTAAGGAATATTTCTACTAAGAAAATTCTTTTCCCTCTACTGACTCATTATAAAATTAGAACTAACATGCAGAGGCAAAATTCTGAAGTAGAGCTATTTTGGCAAGAGAGACCACTGCCAGACTGTCAGTGAAATCACTTCCAGACTTGGAGGAAAAGCATTTCCCTGACGCCGAGCTCTTCACCCATGCTAGACATCCTGCAACGTCACTTAGAACTCTGACAAACACACACTTTCATTTCTTGCCCCTATTCGCAGAGAACATGACATCCTGACTCTGGTAACACGCTCCCTCAATGCGTGCCACACAATCACAACATTCCGGAGTGCACAGTGTCCTTCTGTAAAGATCCAGTGAAAGGGCCTGGTTTACCTGGGTCCCGCTGATCACTGCCCCTCTTGCTGGCACCTCTCTATCCACATTCTACGCTCAGACACATTAAAATGTTTTTGTTTCCTTAAAGGAACCATCCTCTCCCTCCACTCCAGGCTTTCACATGCCGTTTTCTCTGCCTGGAAAACTTTCTGTTTCTGGGCTAACTCCAGATACCCTGAGATCCCAGAGTAATTGGCACTTCTTCTGGAAGCCCTCAAGGCCGCTGTACCCACTAGGAGCTGCCTGGGCACTTAGTCCATGCCTGACCAGGATTACTTGATATTCTGTTTAATAATAGGCTGTGCAAAGGCAGGAGCATGTGTGACTGCTTCCTGGTTATATTTTCAGCATCTAGCATTGAACCTGCCACATAGTATGTGTCTAGTAAGTACTCACGAAGTGAATGAATCAATCTTGCAACGTGAAAGACAGTTGGCAAAGAGGAGAAAGAGGGGTCCTGGCTGGCAAAGCATGCGACCCTGGTCTCAGGGTATTGAGTTCAAGCCCCAGTATGGGTGTAGAGCGTACTTTAAACATTTTTTTTTAAGTCTTTTATTTATTTAAGTCATCTCTCCGTCCAACATGGGGTTCAAACTCACAACTCCAACATCAGGAGTCACATGTAGAGCTAACCTTAAAAAAAAAGTTTGATTGCTTATGGAAACAGGGGGAAGTCTGGTAGCAAAGACCAACTATGAAATCCTTCAAATAGACCACACATACGAAACTGTCAATATTTGGTTGTTTTTTACTTCTAAGAAGAGCAATTTCAAATGCTTCCACATATGAGAAAGACAACTAGAGTAGCGGCAGAGGATAAAAACATATAGAGATTTCAGAGAACAAGGTCTTAGATTCTTACAACCAATTAGTTGCGGATACATGAGGAAGAACAATGATTTCAAATGTAACTGGTGTTACATGACAGGATAAAGGAAAAAACGTGCGTCATGAAGATAAATAAACCACCAGTATTAACTGAGTTTGGGCGATAAGGAGATCATTAGATTTGATAAGGTGAATTTTCAGGTGAAATACATCCAGGGTTTTTTAATCTATAGCCAGAAAATTCATAGCTTTTGAGGTTAGAGATATCTCAGAAGTCCTCCCATCTGATTCCTTTATTTTGTAGCTCTTGTATGATTAAGTGATCAAGGTCATTCCCTTGGTTACCAGCAGAACCAAGGCTACACCCCCCAGGCTCTTGGAATCCAGGTCAGCTCCAGGGCCATTTTGGCAAAGAACGCCAACACCACTTACTTCATTAAGAATATAAACACAAGGTACTGCTTACAGCCCTTTTGGGTAAGAATAAATGCCGGACGTCAATATCCATTTCACTCAAAGATCTCTTGGCCCTTAAAGTTATGTAACATGGGATCAGCTCACAAAAGATTCTCACTGGGGGTCAGGAGAATTCTATTCTTCACATAATTTTAAAATGCTTCCCACACACAAAACTCTTTTTTTTATCACTGCTATTCAACAGATCTAACAGAATCATAGCACAAGTCACAGCCAGGAAAACCTGTAAGTCAAGTGTTCTGAACAGAGGTCCCAGGTTTTCCTCACATTTCCACTACTGTGTGCCCTTGGGCAAGACAATACACTTCTCTGGGCCTCTGACTTCTGGTGTAAAAGAAGGTAGGCTAGACCACCTCTAAGTGCACGCACCCTCTAAAAATTTCACTTTAGCCAAATGAATGTTTGAAAGTAGTTTTACAGGAATTCAGAAAATAAAAGGTACCTAAAATAGCAACTGTTAGTCAAACTCTGATAATAAAAGCCTTCTGTCTTTTGCTTAAGCCTTGGAAGTCTATCTGCTTCATAGCAGTACAATAAACAACCTAAACGTTCGCTTACAGAAGACTGGTTAAATAGATCATGGCTTCCATGACGATTAAAAAGCAGAGGTAGATAAACATGTGTCAACATGAAAATCTAAGATACATTAACTTTAAAAAGCAAGCTATATTAGAGAGAGAGAGAGAGTACGTGTGTGTATGCTTCCATTTCTATATGAAAAGAGTCTATAAAAATCTATATAGGCTCACACAGGATTAGCGAGTTACTGGAAGGCTATACAAGCACCCATGAGAAGAGGGAGTCCTGACAAGACAGAGGCTCACTTGGAATTGTGTAACTTCTGTACAGTTTGATTTTCTCTTTAACTTGGAGCCAAGATGATTTTCTTTAAAAGTTTATAGCTAGTTGGAGCTATTTTAGATCATACAAATTATCTGCAGGTACAAGGCACTCTTTCATTTCTCACCTTTTTTATTTCTTTTTTTTTAAAGGTTGAAAAATTCACATTGTCATTTCGGCTGGGAGACAGAGCAACACTATTTGCCTCCCAACATTGCATTTACCTTCAGCAGCCAGCTCAGATGGAGGGAAAGGTCGGCAGACTTAAGTGAGAGGTGAAGGGGAGTTATGAAACATGAGGAGAAGGTGCCAGAAAAAATGAGAGATACCCTCAGGGAAGGGAGATGCCCCTGGGAAACTAAAAACAGTCAGCTGAAAAAAAAAATCACTAGGGACGGAGATGAAAAACAAGACACATCGGGGCTGACATGAATATCAAACAAGAAAAAACAATCTGTTTATATACTCAATCCATCCTATTACAGTTAACACTAACCAGCCAGAATCAAATATAATACACCTGCTTTTATAGCATAACTTCAATATAATTCACCATAGTTGCCATTACCATCTAGAACAAGAGGTAGCAATGGGAGGCAATTAATCGAATCCCCTAAAAGCAAGCATGCAGGTTTACATATGCCTAAGGTATACCCTGCATTTATCTCCATCTTAGGCACAGAGAGTAAAAAGCAGATACAAGCATAAATATCAAAGGCGGTTTCTTTGATTGCAAACATTTTCCCTGTGAAGCTAGGAAAACTCAGTTTGTTTTGTGGCTCCCTTACTACCTTCTCCACAGCTACTAGGATGTTTTATTTTTGGCAATATTTCAAATTTAGACATCTTTTAACATATTAAATTAACCTATCATAATCTCGGTGAGAAAATACATCCTGAAAAACTAAAGAAAACCCTCTCATTTCATCTCTTTTAAGAATAAGAAAAATAACAATTTACCTATCTGCTCTTTCCAAAATCACCTGAAGTACAACAAAATTTAACAGGTGCTGATTTTCACAGGTTTGGGTAGTGTCAGAAAAGAGCTAGGGGAGTTTCAAGGCAACAATTCTGCTTTCGATAAACAAAACAAAAACACATCTGCTTATACTCAGTAGAAGTATCATATGCTCATGTGGTGAAACGTTAAGAGCCAAATAATTATTTTTACAAAGTAAGCCTCGCGCTCTCATTAGAGCTTTCTTTCTGCAATTACTGTATCTCCTTAGAAAATTTCTGATAAGCGGCTGCAAGTTAATCAAGATGTCCCCCATGCAACGCTAAACAGAGATGTATGCAAGACAAACCTGTGTGGAAAATAACAGTGCTTTTCCTAAACCCTGAAGGAAGTCGAAGATTTCGAAGCAACCCTTTGGCAGTCAGTCGTACGTGAATGGTGGATAAGGAGAATTTGGGAGACAACAACATGTCTTCAGAGCAGGTGAAAAGATTTCGCAGAAGAAACAGCTTCCAGGCACGGTCACATACTGTCTTTTTAAACTCGGTACTCTTCAAAGCCAAGAAATAACAGCGGGAGAAAACATGCCTACATAGCAAATGTCATTCCACTGCACATACACAAAAGAAAAAAAAAACAAAACAAAAAACCCCGAGCTCTCCAAGGGTTCCTGGCTTCTGTTTTCACTTCCAGATGTTGTCCAAACAATACTCTTCGTCTGAATAAAATCTCCTCTTAGTGGATCCAGCAGCAAGCAGCCTCTCAATTACATCACACTGTACATGCTTAAGGGCTTGTTATGGTTTTCATCAGGGATGGTAAAGGGGAGGAGAAAGTGGGTGGTCTTAGGAGCTTTATATAACAACCAATAATGTCACGGATTCTCTAACTACTTGAGAGACTGGTGAGGGAAATTAACTACTTTGAGTACCTAATGTTTATTTGGGAATAAGGAGAAAATTAAGATTTCATTACACGCATCTATATTGATTAAAATTTTTAAAATTACATTCACACTAATAGTGGGCATTTTTTTTTCAAGTATTTTGTATGTAAATCTGTTTATAAACCCGATACCTTGGGTACACTTTTTTTTTTAAATTTTTTTTTCAACGTTTATTTATTTTTGGGACAGAGAGAGACAGAGCATGAACGGGGGAGGGGCAGAGAGAGAGGGAGACACAGAATCGGAAACAGGCTCCAGGCTCCAAGCCATCAGCCCAGAGCCTGACGCGGGGCTCGAACCCACGGACCGCGAGATAGTGACCTGGCTGAAGTCGGACGCTTAACCGACTGCGCCACCCAGGCGCCCCTTGGGTACACTTTTTTTAAATGGCTTCAAGTAGTAAGTGTTCCCAGTTACAATTAATAAAACTTCTATTAATGACAGATTGATAAAAGGTTAAACCTTAATAGTCATGTTCTGAGGACCTCACTAATACCCAACAAAAATGTTGTTCTAGAGACGTAAAATTAACTGGGCCACATTCTGATGATGGCACTCACTGATTTACAACTTTCATTTACGGAAAATCAAGTGGCATCTCAGAGTAATGTTTGGGACTATGCACAAATTAGGATCTGTTTTACTGGGATCTGTTCAATGTTTATTTTGGTAGTTTATAAAAGTACACTAAAATATGATGACAAAAACTAAAAGTACATGAACATATGGTTGTAAGAAAAGTACACAGGCATCATGCTCACTTAAAGGTAATGCCATTAATAACCAGGAATAACCCAACATTTACCACTTTTTAATTAAATAAAGAAAACAATGTAAAGAAATGATCTATGCTTGTTTCCAAGATATCCTAAGAAAACAAGACTTAGTAATAGAAATAAATGTGGAAATTGTTAGCTCTAAATAGCCCTATTAAGTGCTATCAAAATATGCAGGGAACAGCTACTGTTTTAGAAAACCTACAGAGAATTTAGGGTATGAAGAGGGAAGGACACCGACAGGAAAAAAAAAAAAACCCAAAAACCGAGTAATTCCCTCTCCCTCTTTCCTCGAGCCTGCCATCTGAGAGGCTGTCAATACAAACTCAATTACCTGTCAAGGGTTAGCTGTGGGAAAGATACAACTTGTTAACAAGCACAGGATGGGTCCTGAAAACACATTGTACCCGTGGCAAGGGAAGCACAAGTAACCAAGGAATTAATAAAGAAAAGCTACACTGAGTTGTTGCCTTTTGGCTTTACCAGAGTTAATTATAGAACAATCACCCTTTTGCCAGATTCTATACATTAATATTCCATAACCACATCCCCCCCCACCTCCTCCCAAGAAACCTGTAACAACTAAAATATTAATCAGTATTAAAATCATGAATAGAATAAAATTAAATATTGGCATGACAAACAGATCTGGTAGCACCCCATTATGGATGTCATGCAGTTTTTTTCTTCGGAGTTTTTCTCGCTTGTTAAGTAACAATAAACTCTAAGTTACCCTGGTTTAAAGGGAAATCTTTTAGCCTAGACGATCTGCAAGAAGAAATTAGAAATATGCTACCAATTCATCGTATTCATTAACATTTTTCTTTGCACTAAGCTATCCTGCATAGTCAAGTTCGCTAATGATCTTTTTAAAAAGCAGAACAAGGAACTCCAAGAATAAAAAGCAGAAGTGCTAGTCAGAAAGTCAAGGTGGAAAGAGTGGTTCTTGCTTGTGCAGTCAGGTACACACACACATATACACAAGGTGCACTACAGCTCCAGCTGGGGTTTCACTTCTTTCCCAACATGGTCTGCCCCCTAGTGGCAATCTAACACAAGTGAGCCAAAGTAGTGGGGCACCCTTTTCATTAATAGTTAATGGCCAACTCTTAACTATCTGTGTGCCAGGGACTCCCCTAAACACTTCATATGTTTTCATTCTTTTATTTATTTTTTGTAAGTTTTTTAAGTTTATTTATTTTGAGAGAGAGAAAGAGAGAGAACAAGCGCGCGTGCACGTGCGCGCAGGGGAGGGGCAGAGGGAGAGAGAGAATGCCAAGCGGGCTCTGCTCTGTCAGCCTGGAGTGATGACTGCAGGATCATGATCTGAGCTGAAAGGGTCGGTGGCTTAAGTGAGCCACCAAGGTGCCCCTGTATTCACCCTTTTAAATAACTGAATGAGTGTTTATTGTGGAATTACAACTATTTTTAGAACATTTATGCTTTGGGGAGGGGTGGATAGGGAAGCACAGATTTTAAAAATTGGCTCAAAAAGATTCTTTGATTACTTATTTGATCAGCCATTAGCACTTGTACATTAGCTGTAGTTTCTGAAGTTAATGCTAAGTATAGGAGACGTATCTAAAGGCAAGTGCCCATCTTTGTTATTACACAAATTCCTAACTGAAGAGAATATCTAAACATCACCAAGGATCTTTAGACAGCAAGGAAAAATTTAAGAAACTTTTGATACCTAAGAACAATGTTACTAAAAATTAGGAGTAAGACGAGTTTTTATGAAGGGCAGAAAAGCTTGTGTTAGGATTTCAAGTGGAAAAACAAAACCATGATTTAAAATTTTATGTATAGTAGGATCTCAACTTAAAGAATAAAAAATATTGAAGGAAGTATACAGATAGTCACCAATGCTCTGAGTTGGAGTAGGCAGGATTTTCAATGTTTTTGCCATAGGTTTCTGTATTTTCCTATTTAAAAAAAAAAGATCACAGTACCAAAAAACAAAACAAAACAAAACAGACTTTTAAGTTAAAGTGATAATTCTATCTATAATTCTATAAAATTATAATAATTCTATAAAATAATTGTATAAAAAGCCTACAGAATCAGCTGAGTTTCCATTAATGACACAAATAATGACAAACCATTAAAAAACTGCGGAAAGGCTTTAGCAAGGTTTAAAAACAAAGATGTGATATGGATGATGTAAGTATTTGGCAGATGAATACGTTATAGTATTACAGTACATTCAAACAAGAACCACAGATTCAAATGCAGTCTGTGAAAGTGTGTGCGTGCGCGCACGCGTGTGTGTTTAATCAGACCCGATTTAAAGAACAGTAAAATTACCGGCAAAGGAAACAACCATCAAAACTAAAAGGCAACCGATGGGATGGGAGAAGGTATTTGCAAATTAACTATCAGATAAAGGGTTAGTATCCAAAATCTATAAATAACTTATCAAACTCAACACCCAAAAAACAAATAATCCAGTGAAGAAATGGGCAAAAGACATGAATAGACACTTGCTCCAAAGAAGACATCCAGAAGGCCAACCAACACATGAAAAAATGCTCCACATCACTCATCATCAGGGAAATACAAATCAAAACCACCAAGAGACACCACCTCACCCCTGTCAGAATGGCTAACGTTAACAACTCAGGCAACAACAGATGTTGGGGAGGATGCGGAGAAAGAGGATCTCTTTTGCATTGTTGGTGGCAATGCAAGCTGGTGCAGCCACTCTGGAAAACAGTATGGAGGTTCCTCAAAAAACTAAAAATAGAACTACCCTACGACCCAGCAATTGCACTACTAGGTATTTATCCAAGGGATACAGGTGTGCTGTTTTGAAGGGGACTGTGCACCCCAATGTTTATAGCAGCACTATCAACAACAGCCAACGTATGGAAAGAGCCCAAATGTCCATTGACAGATGAATGGATAAAGAAGATGTTGTGTATATACATACAATAGAGTATTACTCAGCAATCAAAAAGAATGAAATCATGCCATTTGCAACAATGTGTATGGAACTGGAGCATATTATGCTAAGCTAAATTAGTCAGAGAAAGACAAATATCATATGATTTCACTCATATATGGAATTTAAGATAAAAAACAGATGAACATAGAGTAAGGGAATACAAAATAATATAAAAACAGGGAAGAGGACAAAACATAAGGGACTCTTAAATACAGAGAACAAACTGAGGGTTGCTGGAGGGGCTGTGGCTAGGGGGATGAGCTAAATGGACAAGGGGCATTAGGAAGGACACTTGCTGGGGTGAGCACCAGGTATTCTACGTAGGGATGAATTGCCGGATTCTACTCCTGAAATCATTACTGCATTATATGTTAACTAACTTGGATGTAAATTTTGAAAAATAATTGATTAAAAAAGTAAAAATAACACTGACATTATGACTAGATAGGATTCAAGCATACACCGTGCAGGGCTGCTTAAGTGCTAGGAAACGCAACCACACTGGGACTGATATGTTTACTGTTAATGATCATAAAGAATCTGCAGAAAATGAATATATAAACCAGGGATTCAAGCATCTCTATCCAACCTCTTCTAGAACTCTAACACCAACTGTATGCATCTGAATGTTTATCTCCTTACTTTCCCTAACACAACACTATTCCCACATTTTCTTCATTTTTATGCTTCACAATCTTTACTGTCTTGTGTTCAAATCTCTGTTCCAGTTGTAGGAAGTTCAATTCAGGGTCCAATCTTTCCACAATGTCCTCTTCCTCAATAGGAAGAAGAATGCCTATATTGTGAAAAATTATCTTAAGATTCACATAAAACAATTAGAAAAAATTGCATCCTTCACACTCCCCCCAACCCTGTAAGATTATAAGCTCTCCAAGATCAGTGATGTTGTCTTTTATGTCTTTTATTTCTTTGGTCTCCCAAAAATGAAAGTGATATTATCTATGTAA